CATCCCGATCCCCGGTACTACCAACCCCGGAATGAGTGTCCTGTATATCTGAAGGCGTGAAAGGATGATTGACTTCGCTGGCAGCGTGTCGAGGAGAATGCAAACACGGTAAACGTCCAACTTACCGCCGAAGAGGTGAAGGCGATCCGTGATGCTGTCGAGCTGGCGGGACTGCACAAGATCTCGCGCGCCGCAGAAGGCTTTTTAAATATGCATTTCGTCAGCACATCACCGCTACCGAAGTAAGCATCCAAAGTCTGAAGTAGCTTGGCTTGATCACTTTGCGTACATTTCCGGAGGCATATCACTGGCGCTAGAACATGATAGTACAATCTTGCGTAGAGCGGATGGAGAAAACTGAATGCATGTATTATTTCACAAGCCTTCGGTCATATGCTACCTTGTAGCGGTCACCTCGGTACCCTCTCGGCCCATTGAGTAGTGGACTGTAAGCTCTCCATGCTGGGGATGCGTCCGCTGAGCCCCGATCCAGAAGAGCTAGGCAGAGTAGGCGGGAGCCCAGGGCTCAGGCTGACGCCCGAGTTGGACGAGATAGACATGCGCTTGCCCCGCACGCTGCCACTGAGCCCCGTGCGACTGCTCGAGCGCGAGCGCCCGATATGTGCATACGAGTCAGGCGAGCGCGACGAGAATGAGGAACCGGAGGACGCGGAGGACGCTCTGCGGTGTCGGACCATCGCCTGTGGGTCCACATTGGGCAGTTTGGCGAGGTGTGCAAAAATAGAAAGGACTAACATTGAAAGACGATGAATTTCGCTGTGTAGTCTGGGAGGGGAGAAGCGGCGTACCGTCAACAATCGACACGACTCCAGACACACTTGGACCATGATGAGCTGGCGGTGAAGGAATTGTGTCGTCCGAGATGAATAATCTGTGCGAATTGGCTACAGGCGATGAGTCATGAAAGCAGACCGAAGAACAGAGCGTGATACACACTTGCAACGGTTTTCTGCATGGCATAAAGTAGAGTGCTTGTAGGCGCCACGCTATACACTGCAGAGACCGTTAGTAAAGGACGACATGCATTTATCCGATGGACATACCGGGATACTTGTCAATACCATCTGTCGACCCATCTGGTTCCTGCGCGCCTTGTGTTAGAAGGCACTTCAAGATCATGCATACTCAATACCTACTTTGATTAGAGAAATGAAGACATGTAAAGGGGTGGACAGGATCTGGCTGCTTTGAGATGGAACAACCAACTAAACTGTGTTCAGCCTTTCAACCCATAAAAGATCTGGTGTGCCTGTACCTTTCCGATATCAGTAGCAGACACGGCGCTCAATAGGCGCCCTCCGTCCTCCTCGAGGACAGCAACGCTGCTAACACCGCAGTCGCTCATGAGGTGCATCGCATCAAGCACGGTATCGCTCGCCTTCAACGCCACAACTGAGCTGTACAGATATAGTGAGGGCAGCGCGTGGCTCGCCAGTGACGATTGGAAGAATGACTCAAGGCCGGGCGTCCGCTGGCCATTGACTGTGAACCACTCGAGCAGGGCCTTGTCCGAGACCATGCCGACATACTCGGAGGGCGGCGATGGAGCCCGAATGACGGCTAGGCGCGCTTCAGTATATAGCGATTTGCCGACGATAAGGACGGAGTTACCTCTGTGGGTTCCCTTTGCGAAGATGGCTAGTAACGATATGATGGTTGCGTCATAGGGAAGAATCTCAAGAGGGTTCTTCTCGGACAAGTCTGGCGAGCAAGAGTGAGCTCAGGCGAAGGCTGTGGATGCTTGAGGGGGACGTACTGCTGATGAGGTGTACTGGTACACGACCCGTTTTCGCTGCGATGATGATTTCATCTGTTCGAGGCTTTTCACGGAGCTCTTCAGGAGACCAGCGATGCCTTGTCGCGGCGAGAGTTAGAAAAGCGTTCACATCCGGAAACTGGTACCCATCAGTCAAGTGAAAAGCACGTCGGCCAAGGCGCACGTACGTCGAATAGGCCGATGAATGGTGCTTCGTGAACAGAGGATGAGGGAGGTCTGTTCACCGCGATACACGAGACGTCCTTGCTCAACAAAACCTGCGCATGGGGAAAAGGAGATTGAGTATTGGCTGGTTGCTGGGAGAAGTCAGAACGCACCTCGCAAGCATCTTCAACGCTCGTCTGCGCGTCGACCGCTATAACCGGTGAATCAATGAGATCTAGAGATAGTCTGCATTGTGTTAAGTTCTCGGAGTACGAACAGTGGCATGCTTACCCCTTGCCGGTACGGTCTCCCATGTCTTGACCCAAGCCTCGAGCTCCGGGGCCTGCAAGCTGAGGCCTGGCTTCGGCGACGGGCTCCTCAAGCTCATGCTGGACACAGACATACGTTTCCTGTGGGCCATGGTCAGGGGCGGATATGCGGGTCGTTGGAGGGTGGCAAGAGAGTCGGTCGGGGCTGACTACATGCCCAGGAGTGGCATATACTGCCGCTGTATTCTCGCGTCCAACACTGGCGTTC